CGGTAAAGTGGCTGGTGCGCTATGTTTGCCAAAAAGTCCGAAATTGCTAGGCACAAAATTGCGGAATTGCAATCGACATAATTATTCGCGACACACTTATATAGACTATAATTAACGATTCCAAAGCTAACGTTAGAGGAATACATTTAATCTCAAACAATGCATCTACAAACAAAAACATTTATTTTTCTGTTAATAAAAAAGATATTAAGAATAAAATAAATACTTTCGTGAAAAATGCATTAAAAACGCGTTTTATGACCCACGACTTTATCCACACTCACGATACAGGACGTTTTAATCACGACACACGACATATAACGACACTTTTCAGTATCAAGCTAGCGAATTAGGGACCGGTCAATATTTATGGCGGGGGGTGGCACCGAAGAGAAAAGGGTTGGGTAAACAAAATTTTGAGTGAGTAAAAGGTTGGGTAAATGAAAAACAAAACAACTCAGGGGTTGGGTAATAAAAAATTATTGTCATTTCCAAAGCATGATTCACTGAAATATTGGAGACTAAAAAGCAATGTCAACTGTAGTCAGTCATATGTCAATACAATACCGTATGTGAATCAATCAGAGTGACTATCTCTTGATCATTTTCCGATTTGTTGGGAGACAAATGGTACCTCCAAAGAAAGTACATGTGCAGACAACATGAAATTTTAAACTGCATAAAATTTTACAATGCGTTATCAAACTCATGTGACAGAACGTCACACTATTGTAAAGTTTTTGGCCAGGGGTGGGTATTTATTTTTAAATTGATATTTGAGGTTGGGTAATCAAATTTTTGACTTTTTAATGGTTGGGTCAGCAAACTTTTTGCCACGAAAAACATTTCTCTTCGGTGCCACCCCCCACCATAAATAATGACTGGTCCCTTAGATCGATCCGAAAGCGATACAAGAGACGTATTGGACCAAGTGTGAACGAGCTAAAACAAGCCGACGCACTCGAGACCGGAGTGGTGGTTTCGGATTGGTTTACATTTTACAACAAAGTTAATTTCTTGCGCAGCAGGCTGGAATTTTCGCCGTTTATATTCACGCCACGGCATGCACTGCAGTTAATTCGGTTAATTTATTTAAGTTTTTCGGCAACTGTGGGCACTCCACCGAGGAACGGAAACTCTATCCACAATCCGCATTTTCCACTCTATCCGTAATCCGCATTTTCCACTCTATCCGCATCCCGCGTTTTCCATCAAGTTTAGATTCGTGTATGATTAAGATTAGATTACGGTCAGATTAAGATGATATTAGGCTTACAGGTTAGAGTTGGGGTTAACATGAAGTATTGGTTAACATGAAGTATTGCGCTTACATGTATCCAGTCTCTTTGGCCGAGTTATGTATAGCCGAACGACAACTCGATTTTGCATGTACGGACGGATGTACGCACGGATGATCAGATTTATGACGTTTTTTGACGTCACAGAAATTTTAAAAAATAACATACTCCAGATCGCGATTTGACTTTCCGAATACCCTGGTTGAGACTCACGAACACCACCATGGCCTATTACAATTTGTAAATAGTACGTTGCCTCGTGCTTGTTGTGAATTTTGATCCCAGCTTGCTGCAAATTTTATGTATGGCTGTTTATCGAAATATATTTTTACGTCTGGCTGTTTATCGAAAATATTCTTCAAGGTAAGATGAAAGTTTGAGCACAAATAACAATGTGTTTTGGTCAAATTATTTTACCCATTGAAACGAATGAATCCCAGCCACTATTGGAACACACAAGTCACAATTGTGTACGAATGAAAAATTACCTGACTTGTACAAAGATAATCCTATAGGCTATAGCCACCCAGTGTGGATTGTATTCTGCACATATTACTGTAACTAATTACTAGCAGTTACATGTAATGTCAACCGACTTTTGTAAAAGGTATGTCGGTCTCTAAAAATATATCTCTGAGATATGCCCACTGTTTATATAGCATAATATAAAATAATCCTGTCACTACAGTACTCAGGGTATACTATGTTTTTTTATAAATGTTCAAAATTTCTTGTATTATATAGTTTTTGCAGTTCTGAGTACAATCTTAATCATTGTAAGTGAATGGTGCCATCAGAAGCTGATATATGAAACAAAACCTGTCAACAAATAGATTTTGTCTCCCGATCAGGCATCAGAAGATTGTTCAGTTGTTTTGCTATTGGGGTAGTGCCATTATTGCATTAAAACGATAATTGGGACAAAAACTAACTTAATAAAAATTATTTCTATGTATAAAATTGTTATTAAATTCTACATGTCCAGTGATTCATTCAAGTATTATTATTGTATATATAATATGATTTTGTACAGTATTCAGTGGCAAGTTAACTACCATGGCAACTGGGCATGCCATGCCAATAAGCCTGCATCTATTTGAATAATGCAAATCATTAAAAACTTGCTTAGCATGACTTTTTGCGATGGCTAGCTACACCATTGTCTGCGATAGCAGACTGATCTTAGCTGACACCCCGCGGAGCGATGTTCTGCTTACATACTGTATGGCATTAGTGTTGATTTATTGCAGACTGTTTCACCGCTGCGCCGCTCCAGGCGGGTTGGCTGAGATTGGTCTGCTATCGCAGACTAGCTTCACCACTGACAGTGCTATAATTATACATACAAAAGCAAGAAGTTGTAAGTGCTCATTGAAGCCGAAGGAATCAAATAAAATCGCCCATGCCAAGAAAGTAGAATTAGAATATTTAGCTGACCTTTGACCTTGTGCAAGGTGTTTGATATTCAAATAGCACTTTTCCTACCTCCCGAACAGGCGTCTTAGGGCTGTTTACATGATGGAGCTCGTGGAAGGTGGGATGATTTTTGATGTATTTGAATAAGTCACTAGGCTAAACGAAAGTTCAATTGCTTGTTAACTGAACTCAAATATTGTAAAGAAGATCTTGTAGTTCAAGAAGATTATTATTGCTGCTTGAACAACCTTCTGTTTACAGTTAACTATAATCTATCTATAGATAATGATTTTTGCTGAATTGTGCACCGTGACTTATTTCAATACCTTGAAATCATCCCGCCTCATATCTTGTCTTGGCAAAGCGGGGTCATATAAACAGCCCCTTATTTAGCAAATTGCGCATGCTGCATTTGATTCCTTGGGGGCGAGGCAGCACTTTCCTTGCGATAGTAACTTCTAGTTTACCGCATATATGCGTTAATTACGTTTTAATTCAATACGCTTAAAAGCGTGTAATTACGGTTGTATCGCGTGGAATCTCACTACATTCCCACTTTTTTTTATACTTTATACTTTATTTAGAAATGGTAAATACATTGCAGCCATGAGCTGAATTGCGTATTATACTTACAATTAAAAATTATTAAAAATTAGAGTTTTGAAATATATCAAAGTATTATAATTAATTAACTAAATTGTCAAAAGTGTCTGTTTATAATAAGCATGCAAAAGTTATTAAGAATATAAAATAGGTAAAAGAAGAGTAAAACCTATTCAGTTTTGCTACTCGATGCCATAATAAAACTATTACTAAACCGATTGGTTTTACAAACTGGAACGTCAAATGATCTAATAGATCTCAGGTCGTGGATGGAGTTATGCCTTGGCGGCAAGAGGTAATGTAGACTGTGATTAGAATCTTTGATAATTGCATTAAACAATTTCTTGCAGCTGTTTTGATGGTGAGTGGAAAGATGTTCAATTCCACTGAGATTTAAAGCTTCCTCATATTTCAAATGGGGATAAATAATTCCAAATACGCGTTTCTGGACTCGTTCCAAATCTTGACTTAAATACTTGGGTAGGCTGTAGTGGAAAACCGGGACAGCATAGTCCAACACAGATCTTATACAGGTTATGTAAAATGTGACTAGTTCTTGTATTGGGAATTTTGCTCTCTTAAGTTGAATAAGGAAATATATCCTTTTGGAGGCTTTCTTGACTAATTCAGTGATATGTTTATTCCACGTAAGGTTGTGGCTAATGTTAAGACCTAGGTCTTAACATTAGCCACACTTTAAAATCGGATACAACTTCTATGATTTGATTCTCAATTGAAATTGGGTTAAGCTCGGGTTGATTCCGTGCAAAAGAAATTCGTATCTCCTTACATTTATCAGCATTTAATTGCATTCTATTGATATTGGACCAATCTAAAATTTCATTTGCAATCAGTTGAGCTTCACTGTGCTCGCCTTGCAATACAACTTCCGACGCCGTGGTATCGTCAACGTATTTCCATAAGTTCTCACTATGTTTCTTCAAATCATTAATCATTATTAAGAAGAGCCAAGGGCCTAATTTGGTTCCTTGAGAAACACCAGCCGGTACTTGGCCCCATTCAGAAAGGCAACTATTTGACAGCTTAACCCTTTGATATCCATCCGATAAAAAGTCGATAATCCAGTTGATGATACTAGTTGGTAAATCTAAAGCACCTAACTTGATCCTTAGGATACTATGATCGATGAAATCGAATGCCTTTTTATAGTCAAATAGAAACACTCGGATAGTTGCTCCTGTTCCGTCCAGCATTGAGGTCCAGTGATGTAACATGTCTATTAAAGCAAAAGTGGTTGAAGAATTAGGAATAGAACCAAATTGATTTGAGTCGATGGATTTCAGAACCGCAGGTTTGATATATCTATTTACCACACATTCTTCAGCTACTTTGGATATGCTCGGGGTCAGTGAGATAGGTCTGAGATCTTTTTCTAAGATTTGAACTGTCTTAGATTTAGGTATAGGTAAAACATTGGCTAGTTTCCACATCGATGGAAGTCGTTGTTGCTTGAAGGAAGCATTTAAGATGGTACTAATTGGGAACGCTAATATAGCTGCATAATCACGAAGAAGCCAATTTGATATTTCATCAGGACCACAAGATTTTTGTAGGGTTCAGCTTTGATAAATATGAATACACTGTTTCTTCAGTGACTACTAAAAACTCAGGGTTGTTAACTTCTAGCTCGAAAGGAAGAAGGGGGCTGGGCAGTTTATATACAGATAAGGGATCCAAGAAAGCTTCATTGATCTTGTTAGCTAATTCTTGCTCAGATAATTGTTCGAGGTTTTCAATATCTATTATATTTCTAATATCACTAGATCTAGTAGATGCCATTCCACTTAAACGCTTTACTTCTTTCCACCATTCCTTGGAGTCTGTTTGTTTCATTTGATGTACACGGAGTTTATAATAATTTGATTTACAGATTTTCCTTTCTCGATTTACTTGGTTTCGAAGAGATTTAAAACTGCTCGAGTCAGGCCCATAGGTAGAAAAAGCTTTCTGCCTTTCAATGATCAGCGATTTGAAATGGTTCGTTATCCAGGGGGCATCGACAGGACATTTCTTTGATCGTGTCATCGGCATTAATATATTAACCCCAGTAAGGACTATGTTTTGAAACATGTTCGATAACTGATCACAATCATTAGTCGATGGAATAATTTGAGGCCAATCAATCGAGTTTAGATATCTTCCCAGGGCTCGTTTGGAACTTGGATTAATATTACGCTTGAAGGTGGTGCCTTTAGAGATTAGATCTTTAGCTCTTTCCTTTGGAGATGAAATGATAGTATTGTGGTCGGATAGTCCAAAAGGGGGTATTATTAGAGGTTTTTCATAATACTCGTGCAGATTAGTTAAGATGATGTCGAGAATCGCATTTCTGCGGGTAGGAGTCTGAACTATCTGTTTCAGTTGAAAATGATGTTTGATTCTGTTAACATTAAGACGATTAAAGTCACCTGCAACAATAAGTGCGCAGTTTAGAAATTTTGACTCTGCCTTTTTTAATGACTGGAATAAATGGTCTCTCATCGAATAATCATCTGCTCCAGGGGGGTGGTATACTATAGCTACGATAATACATGAGAACTTGCGTGGAATACGAGTAGGTCTAAGGTGCAGCCATAGGATTTCGTGCTCCTGGCAGCAAGATAACTCTAAAATCTGTTTATATTTAACATCTCGGTTATTAACGTATGCACAAACCCCACCATGGGATTTGTTAATTCGGTCCCTACGTATTATTGAAAAACCGGGAATGTTCACCACGCTGTCAGGAATAGAAGCTTTAAGCCAGGTCTCTGTGATAAATACCAGGCTGATTTGATTCCGGTGAATAAATTCGCGAACTTCGTCAACTTTTGGAACGAGTGACATGACATTGGACAGCATTATTTTTGGGACATGCTCAAATTTAACAGCTTCATCTAGTGGAATTTTAACCAAGTTAAAATCGGACGTTTTATATTTATTCCGAAACCTCTTGCAATTGTAGTTATGAGTTGTTATTCTTACAGGAATGGTTTGACCCATGATCGTTTCTTTTTCCATAGTGGCATCTAATAATAATATTGGAAGAACAACATTTTGTCTTTTCGCTTGCCCCTCCGACTCTTCCGAAAAACCTCCTTAGCTTGGCAGGTTTTTGTGGAATGTTTATCCCGTTGCCAATTTGGGTTCAGTGATTGTATTTTTTCCCTACTTGTAATACGCGTCGGGATGGGATACTGATTTGTAAGATCGTGCTGTGGTATTTGATGGAGCGTGTTAAAAATAATAGTTGGGAGGCCGCATCTATCCTCATTTTGCTTAGATACATGTTGACTCCTGCTTAGATTGATGTCAGTACTTTGATCCTCAACCACAATACAGGATTGATCAAGAGACAGCTCACAGTTATTTCTTTTAGTTTCCTGATTTATTTCTTTTCTTTGGTTGAAAGTGTGGGAATTTGCATAATTTATCTTTGCCTCGACCTTGGTGTTATTGTTAGGCGCTATTTGGGAATTATTCGACCGATCTCCCATAGGTGTAATTGAGCCACATTGTTGATTCGAGTAATTAATTGTGTTCCTTTGTTCCAATTCGTGTAGGTTTAATTTACAGGTTTTTAAGTCTAGTTCTAAAGCTTCTACCTTGCTGCTTAAAGCCTTGTTTTGATCAACTAATTCAACACGAATTTGTTCCATTTTTTGGGTATTTGTTAGAAGACCACAAACAATTTTAGACTCCATCAAAACAATGTCTAGCTTGGCTCCCTCTAATTCTGTTGAGAGTTCGCTATGCGAGACAGAACAAACCGTTTGGCTTTGGGCACGCATTTCACTTACCAAGTCAAAGTCTGTTTAAACACCAATATCACGAGTCGTGTCTCTAAGGTTCCTGTCGCTATCTTTTATATAGTTTGCCATCAGCTGGAAATCTTTATCGAGTTTCTTCATTGCAACACCAATCTGTTTGACGGACAACTTTAAATCATTCCCGTCCTCGTAAATCTAGACATTTTTCCTCGGTCACTCGTTGAAAATTAGGTCCTGGGTTAGACGACTAAAGGGAGAGATCTCATTGGCTTCTCAGAGAACTGCTATTTTGCAGAAGTTGAGCAGCTTTCTCTAGGGAAAATTATTCTATCAACATATGTCAACACAAATACTTCATTTCTTCGTAATACTTCACTGTGAAAGTTGTTACGGGTTCTAAAGCGTCCCAATTCAACAGCATGCGCTTTAGAAACATTGCAAGTTTTGTTGCACTTCCTGCTCGGTGTGTCCTGGGGTATAGGGAGGACGTCATAGGACCTAGGAACGAGAGAGAATTCAAATTGTATCGAGGGCCCAGGGAGAAAGCGGTGACAATCTACACAGGACGGAATCCTTACCTTTTTTGACCTTTACAGTTTGGGAAATCTGTTAAAGGGATATTCACTATTAAACGTATAAAACTGCGTTTAAATACATTAAAGGTATATTCGCAGTTTATCGACATTTAAACGTATAAAATTGTGTTTAAAGGCATTAAAGATTTATCGACATTTAATACTTGTTTAAATACATCTTTAATCATGATATGCCTTTAGTGGCCTTTCCAAAACAATTAAGTACTATTTAGAGCCACATTATACTTTACTCAAGTTTACTCTTTCTTCGAGTAAAATGTTTTAAAAGGTAAAATGTCGGCCATAAACGTCATTGTTACCATATATAGTAACGGTAATGACATCATTTTTAAGTAAACAATTTTCAACTCTTGGAAGATTGCTCAATATATCTGGTCCATTTTTGTCTTCTAAAAAGAAACCTCTGTTCTAAAAATTAAATCTAAATCACGATTTTGTCATATTTCAAAAATTGTAGGATTGTAAACGTGTTTCAATAGCTTAGTTGAAATTTTGTCTAGACCAGTTGATTTTCCGATTTCGAAATTTTTAATTTCTCTTTTTAAATCATGAATTGATATATTTTCAAAGGAAAAGCATTTGTAGGATGATTCATGTATGACAGAGAATGTGGACTAGTGTCACTATCAGTGATATTATTAGCTAGATTAGGACGTATGGACGTGAAAAGCTTTGTTGAACTTGTCAACTATATGCCTTTCTTATCGTTTATCTTATTTCCCTGACCCACATTAAGTTCGTCGACAGTTGTGGCTTTGGATTGCCTATTTAAAAGATTATTTAATGCATTCCAACCCTCTTTACTATTTTTACTGTTTTGGAGTTTAGTATTGTAGCATCGGCCGTTAGTGTTTGTGAACAGGTGGCTATTTGTATTCAGGTTATGGTGAATATTTTGATTTCCCACTAACCTAATATTGAAGTGGAATGAACTAGATTGTATTAAACATAATCATTTAGAAAACAGTAGTGAACGTTTCCTTTCTTCAGATAATAATGCGCGTGTTTAATCCAACTCTTAACGATAGTCAGGAAGGATGAACATTCTTCAAATATTTTGATCGAAACAAACAATATTTATAATTGTTTATTATAAATAAACTTAAGGTGGCTCGATATAGTTATCACAAGAACCCTGCTCAAGAATCGCGAACTCAAAACGGGTGATCATTTTTACGCGCAGGTCTCGGAAACTGATTAACAAAATGAAAGAACTTCCAAAATGACCTGACGTGAGCAGTTGCTCGCGCCATATCACGCCATTGCGCGTGTTCTATAGCGTTTTATGTCAATTGCTGACGTCATTAGAATTTTCCATTTTAGAAATACAATGCGCTATATCTTTTTATTTTGTCTGCTGACCTATGTTCAAATTTTGTATGCTGTATTGCACCGCTAAAAACTTTCATTATACAAAAAATAAAAAAATTCTGTAATACCAAAAAAATTTTACCGAAAAATATGACATTTTTGCATTTTCCAAAAAAATGGCATTACAGAATTTTTTTTATATTTTGCTAATTGTTAACTTTTAGTCCAAGTAAAATAATGCACAAAAAAAAATTGGGGGTCACCATGCTTCTTTTCCAACTATACGAGGCGATAGACCATTTTGGAGTGCATTTCGTACACGTATGTCGTCATAGCAACGAACTATCTGTTACGAAAACTAATATAATTTGAAAGTAGAGTTATCAAAATATATAAAAACCCCAATATCTGCTGAATAAATCCTAAAAGTGAGTAGTTTGAACATGTCAAAGTGTTGAACACCTGAATTTTTGAAAACTGTATCGAGCCACCTTAAGTACAGTACTTATCAGATCATTTCCCCGTATACTGGTCATTAATGCTTGACAGCAAGAAGGCATCATCATACATTTTAAGCGAAAATTATGGTTGTTTTAAATGGCAGATTCGAAGGATAAGCGCAGACAAAAAGTTAAGAATCTGCTTTGATATTCAAATTATATATATGTACAATATTTGGATACGAGAAGCATTTCATACTTCTTGTCAAAATGTTCTGTTACGAAAAATGAAAACAGTAACAATCAGGGTGGTTAGACGATTTTAAAAGTTTCTGTGTCGAGAGGTTACTATGGTACTGTATAGTTTTGAATTATGAAGCCTGAAGTTAAGAAATTAAAACATCAAACAGTAGTAATTGGTAGCCTTGTTTTAGAATGATAATAGAATACTAGATATTTTTAATACACAAAATGAGAGCGTCAGTTATAGTTTCCTAATTAGGCGTTCAATTTCGAGCCATTTTTAGCGAAACTTTTCAAACAGTAATTATTAAAAACCAATATTACCGGAAGGAAGAACATTCCTAAAATATTTAGGAACAAATCTTCATTATAATTGTTTCATTTGAAATGCGAAGTTCCTATGGTATCATTTCATTGTTTTACAGCATGCAGTCATCAACTAGCGTTCCAAGTGTAACTTATAAGTTTGTTTGTTTGAAAAAGGAGTTACGAAACATAATAAGTGCAGGCAAAAGATAAATAGAGGAGAGTGTGGTTTGATATTCAAATTAAAACAACATAGCATTTTTACATTTAAGATAACGTTACTTCCATATTCATTGTCTGAGAAGTTACACTACAGACAAGATAACTCTGAGGACCAGAAAATATCAAACACCATAAATAGTCTTGTTTTATGACAGCAAATACAAGTTAATCGTATAGTCCAAATTCAACGCTCGTCGTTTTGAAAAAGGTCTTTATACAAATGTTTATCAACCCTAACAGTGATTAACCAGATGTAAGACAATACTTTACAGGTAAAATATATTGTGGAACTGTCTACATTGGTTGATAACTTAATAGAATATTGTTATCATAATAGTTCGTTCTTTCTTATTTTGGCTAAAATTGACATCATCGTTCCAATTAACTGTATAGTACGCCTTCTTAGAAAGATGCACCGTAAGTTTTCGTTTTATCACTTCGATAAGTCTTTTTTAAATTCTAATGGCAGTTAGTTTCATGATTTTTGAGCTCAATGCCATATATAGGCTCTACTAATAATAACAACACGGTATTTCATTATATACTGAATGAGAATACTATTTCCCCCATGTAGAGTTGAATATTTGCGCAATATTTCACAGGAACCTCCCAAGGAATAATGTATAACAACAGGGAGGAGGAACATTCCTTAAATACACTATTACGAAACAACATCCTTTAACATTTTCATTTGGATCAGGAAATTTTTCTCGCATTCAATCTAGATTTATATGTACTTTCTTCAAAATGAAAGATGCAGCGGATGGTCTGCACTTTTGCGTTAGGAATCTACAATGTTGTTTGGATTATAATATCTATAAACAACGAAATATCACTTTGCTACGACCAAAAGCGCACGCGGCGCAGTTTCGCTGAGAGTGTTCATCATTTGGTAAGCTTCTTATACTCTCGTAGCAACGAAAGCCACAGGGTTGAAAAGACTGTTAGTGTCGGTGGACAGGTGGCTATTTTCATTCAGGTTGAGATGAAGCTTTGATCTTAATTTACATTTTCCAAATATTTGGAAACGCTATAACATTTTGAGTTATTTGGTATACATATCTTTCAAAATTTGAAATCATTAACTGTTTTATTAACTTTTAAAAACTAAAGAATCGCGCTGCGTTGTCGAATAGCGTCCAGTGTGTCTCGACCTGTTTAGTCCAATCGTTGACTATAATCAGGAAGCGGGATGAACATTCTTCAAATATTTTGCAACAAACAATATTTATAATTGTTTAATTTTAATTGAGAAGTACTTACCAGATCATCTCTGTTTTCTTGTCATTGATTAATTTGACAGCAAGAAGGCATCATCCTACATTTCAAGTTTAAAGTTATTCAGAAATAGCTGATGCGAAGGATAAGCGCAGACAAAAGGTAAATAGTTGGGCATCTGCTTTGATTGGTTGATAATAGTGTTTAATCAGGAAAACCAACATCACAAGTTGTGTTTTTCGGAAGATCCCTGAGAAAACTATACAAATACAAAAGATTATACAATAATAATATGCATGCAGGTTATACACGACGGTTGCAAAATGCGTTCGATTATAGCCTACTATCGAGATTTAAGAAGTGCAGTATGAAAACTATAGCTAGATGGTTAATTGATTTAATGTTTTTGTCCAAATCATTATACACCTTACAAGTTTGGTATAGAAGTTTCTGCTTTCCCCAATTGGTACTAGGTTTGCTGAGATGAATGTGATCTCTTTGATATTGAAACTATATTTAACTGTATAATATTTGCATACGAGAGGCATTTCATGTTTCCTGTCTAAATATTCAGTTACGAAAGATGAAAATCGTAACA